TAGTAGTAGTAGTAGTAATGATAATATTTGTTATTATTATTTGTTATAGTTGTTAATATTACTATAAAATTATTAATTTAAAATTTAATTGAAATTCTTTCATTTAAATTATTTATTCATTTAATTTTTCTTATTCTATTCATTGTTATTCAGCTGGTCTTCAGGTGGAGGCAGAGGAGAAGACATTAGTTGTTGCCATGGGTAACAGCACCTACCTGGAGTGCCTACCCAAATCTCACCATGCCACAGTCACCTGGTTTAAAGACATAGGCGAGAACAGCTTGGAGCAACATAAGGTACATGCACACTCATGCCTGCACACTCAAAACATTATCAAATATTGAGATGTCTCTAAATTTGAACCTTCTGTCTTTCAGGTCACATCTGGGGAGCAGCTGGTTGTCATTGACAGGGGCATCCTCATTCCCCGGGCTGAGCTCAATCACGGCGGCGTTTATCACTGTCAGCTAGAAGAACATGGATTCCGCTGGACAGCCGTTACTATTCGTTTAATTGTGTGGAGCCCCACATTTGTCTCCGCCCAGCCATGGTACCAGGATGTGATGGCATTGATCAACCACGGCAAACTGGAGCGACACTGCAAAGAACTCAGTCAGCATCACAACAACAAGGAATCAGGGAATCACAAGCATAACAAACAGGACAGAAAGAGAGCAGACCGGCACAGGCACAGAGGAGGGGGAGAGAAGGAGAAAGGAAGGGGGCGGAAGAACCGGAGCCGAATGCAGGGTTCAGCACAGAGGCTGCCAAGGAGCGCATAGAACAAATCGCAGGTGTTTACAAAGCTGCTCAAAACAAAAGAATACAACAAAACATGCAATATACAGTATATTCACAGTACATTCAAGTATGCATGACATCATGTTAACAGACATTTGGTTTGTTTCAAATCCTAATGAGCTGCCTGTATGCGGCAGCATTGTCAAGCAACAAGCTCAAAAATACATGCAAGTTGGGGGATGAGAAGAGAAAAATTTTGATCAACTTATATTTCTTTCAATTCATTCAAAGAAGTATATCAATATAGATTGTTCAAATGTTTGGGCTCAGCAAGATTTTTTTTAATACATTTATATTAATTATAAATGTTATTATATTAATAACCAGTCTTAAGTCGCTGGGGTATATTTGTTGCAATAGCCAAAAATACATTGTATGGGTCAAAATTATAGATTTTTCTTTTTTTTTTTTTTTGCACCCTCAGATTCCCGATTTTCAAATAGTTGTATCTTGGCCAAATATTGTCCTATCCTAACAAACCATACATCAATGGAAAGCTAATTTATTCAGCTTTCAGATGATGTATAAATCTCAATTCTCAAAAAATTGACACTTAAGACTGGTTTTGTGGTCCAGGGTCACATTTATTGTGCATAAAATTGCATTAAATTGATCAAACGTGACAGGAAAGATATTGTTATGAAAGATTTATATTTCAAACGAATGCTGTTCTTTTGAACTCTGTTCATCAAAAAAATTTGTATCACTGTTCCCACAAAAGTATTATTCAGCACAACTGTTTTCAACATTGATAGTAATAAGAAATGTTTCTTGAGCACCAAATCAGCATATTAGAATGACTTCTGAAGGATCATGTGAAAATGAAGACTAGAGTAATGGCTGCTGAAAATTCAGCTTTACCATCCTAGGATTAAAATACGTTTTTAAAATATAGTAAAAGAGAAAACAATTATTTTAGTTGTTTTACTGTATTTTTGATCAAATTGATGGTGAGCATGAGACTTTTTTTCGAAACATGAAAAAAATCTTACTGACCCCAAACTTTTGAACAGTAGTGTAATTAAAAACATATTATCTTACCAAATATTTAATGTGTGCTTTGACATGCTAATTGGAAACTTTATTGCATGTCAAGAATATTTGTGTGTTGTCCAGAATTGTAGAGTGTTTCTAATTTCTTAATGAGTTCATTGACAAGTAGAATGCTGCCTATGTAGGCAATGAGGCAGCTCACTAGGTTTTGGAACAAAGCTAGTATCTGAATCATGTGAAGGACTGTTGCTAAGCAAATTAAGAATGATCTGAAATAGGTGTGGTCAAGAAGAAGTGTTTACTTTAATATTAAAAACGAATTGATTATTTGAGGACTGTGTTAAGCATATTTGACAAATCTTTTAGGGCAAGGAAGTGTCCCCAAATTATCCTCTGATGAACAAAAGACAAATCTTACAAAGTTAGGGAGCATCTTAAAATGTTCTTTGTTTAAAAAGACTGTATTGAAATGTATTTCCTTATTTATCTTTCATGGCATTTATTTTCCTTGTGTTTTTGTGCTTTGTGTTTATATTGTCTTGCATTTTAAGTGTAAAAATTGTACATGGTCTTTTTTTTTTAAATATTTGAATAGGGTGTAATTCTGTCTCTGATGTCAGTCAAAGCAAAAGTCCCAAAATATAACAGATCCCGTAGGATGATGAACACTGTGTTTCTCTGGGGAACGATGGAGGCACAAAGGGTGTGTTATTTTACTGGACTGAAACGGCAGCTATTTTCTCCTGCACACGGACAGATGCACGACTGCCAAGAAGTTTGGCACCCGCCCTGAAGTGCCTCCATTCAGAAGGATGGAAAAATAAAAAATAAAATAATGGCAAAAAGGCTTTAAAGGCTTTAAAGTACTGTACAAAAACAGAGAGAAGAGGAGCAAGTTAAAATGCGGTCAGACCCACACCACATGACAGAGAGAGAACCAGAGATCTGTTCATATGTTGGAGCAGCTCGGTTCGCCAAGAGACTCAAACAAAACTCAAATGTTGTTAACAGTCATAAAATACATAAAAAAGAATAGATGTTTCGTGTTCATGTTTTACATATGGTAAATCCTGCCTTTAATAATTTAAACCTTATGAATCGTGTGACTATGTCTTACCTTAAACTGTAAATCTGGATTTCATTAATGGACTTTGAACCTTGAATAAAGTGTTTTGGAAGACTGTCATGAAATTGAGAGAAAAAGAACAGAATTCAACATTGCACTACTTAATGTATTCCATTTTGTAATATTAATAACATCCACATATACTGCTTTATACAGTACCAGAAAAAATGACTGCATTAGTATTATACAACATCCCAACATCTAACATGTCTTGAACTTTAATCTGAGCCAAGAAACAATCCTGTTTTAAGCAGAAAATTATCACTGATATATCATAATAGTCAAACAGTTTTTTTGTTTTTGGTCTGTATAATATAAACAGAAACACTCTCACATGCACAAACATGTGCTGGAATTTTCTCTTGGTACCTCTTGCTGTGTGACAAGCATTTGAATTCCATGAGCACATCATATTGCATCCTATATGAATGACAGGACACTGGGAAATTGACTAGGCGGGTTGCCTTGGATACGGCTGCCCCTTAAAACACTCCCAGAAGTGAATACCAAATATTGGAGAGCCTATATGTGAGTAAATGAGATCGGTGATGCAAATAACAAAGTGAAGGGGAGAGACTGGAGGAGAAACACAAGGAAAATGAGAGAAATATATTATTTTCTATTAAGGAAAATGTCTGCCTTGCTGTTGTTGAATACTGACAAGAAATCAAAACTTTATTGAATTTACTGTCTTAATAGACTTTCCTGATCTTATTTAGCACAATCACTCAGCACACATTATACCAACATGTAAAAAAAAAAAAAAAAAAGTCATCAAAATATAATCACTTCCTCCACCTCTGAAAACAAATGTCCTTTTCAGCTGATGTCACCTATAGGCCACACTGGGTAAAATGTAAATGTTAGCCTATAGCAAATTGCTATTTAGGCATGTTTTAGGCTACTGCTTTAGCCTTTCTAAAAAGCCAATAGTGGTTACACTTTATTTTAAGGTGTCCTTGTTACAGTGTAATTATACATTTAAGTGCTGAGTAATATTAATTAACTACATGTACTTACTATATGGTTAGGGTTAGGATTAAGGTTTAGCTTAGGGTTACTTGCATGTACTTATGCTTAATTAATTGTTATTATAATAGTAAGTACATGTAACATGTGTAACAAGGCCACCTTAAAATAAAGTGTTAACCCAATAGTTAATGCTGTAATTTAATGTAATCTAATGTAATGAAGGTCACACGGCAGTGATTGCAAATAACAACATATTTACCATTTAGATACATCAAGAGATACTACCAAAGGTGAACTTGATCTTCAGACTGGTGAAAAAGCCTCCTCAAAGGTGGTTTAAAAGTGGAAAAAGGAAGTAGTCCTTCACAGTTGCTCTATTCCAGTATGGAACAACCACTTTTTACAATCCAATTAAATCATGATGGATAATAATCAAGTCCCACCCTACAGTACACTTTTCATGTTGAATACATTGTTTCACTTAGAAATATATGAAATTACTGATGTAAAATGACTTGTTGGTGAATGTTGTTTCATGTTGACTACAGTCCCCTAAAGAGGTCGAGAGAGTAAGTAAGGGTCAAGACAGTGCATTACTCTGGCTCTACTTCAGAGGGCTTTATTACAGGGGGGAGGTTTTTTGGATAATAACAGGATCTTAGAGGTTTTAGTCTTGGTAAGGGTTTTGTGACAGGGTCAAAGCTGACCTAGGTTTTACTGATGTGGTTGACAATTCCTATTGATTAGCCTATAGAATGGCAGCAGGGTAAAAATACACACAGCCTACTGCACAGGACGTGGGAGAGAGCAACGCCAGTAGCTGAATCAATCCGCGGCGTCTACCGCCCTTTGTGGTGAAATGTGTGTACTACATGTCTGTCTGGACAGGCTGTCTAGACATCTCTCTTTGTGCAAATAAATGAATAATTAACCACAGGTTTATTATTTATTAATTCTATAACGCAGTCCTCTGATAAACTACATTAAAGTATCAGTATATAAAAACACAGAATGCGTTTACATGCAATTTTACACGCGTCTTTTATGTCATGAGGTTTATACCTGTATGTTATGTGGAACTATAACGTCAACGTTGTGTTTCAGTACGACAAATATTTAGTGCGGACTCAGTTGGCAACCTACATCCTGAGCGAAGAGCTGCAGGTAAACATTTAACTTCACCAATCCACCATTGCATTACATGCATCTGAAACATGACAAATCCGCCCAAACTCAAACAGTAATAGTCACAAGGCTGCGGGTTTTCGCTGATATCTCGCATAATAACTGCGAATTCATAGGCCTGCATTACAGCTAATGCTTATCTTAAAGCTAACGTCAGGTGACCACTGTCGCTTCCTTGATCCGTTTATTAACATATTTATTGTTCGACTGGTTTGTCTGGTTGTGATGTTGAATGTTTGTGAAAATGTCTTCGTTTGTACGTCATGAATTTTGAGACCCGCAAATCATTGTTGCTGGTGATTTCAGCGTCGTATGATTTCAGTTTCTCTGCCATTAGAGAGACACTTCATCACTAGATAAAATCGTTTGAGGTTTTAGTGCTTATGTCTGTAAGTAAATATCCCAATAGACTGATTAGCAACGAATGAACTGACAGCTGTCAAAACAGACTCAGTGTGTTTCCATATGTGAAGTGAAATCTGCAAGAGCGTTCATGATAACCGAGGTTTTGCTTTTAATAGCACAACTTGAATAAATAAAGAATAAACGAATGACTTATTTTAAATCATGGTTATTTTAGTTAACTGATACTAAAACTAAAACCATAAAAACATTTTTGTTGCTTTATTGTGTTGTTAACTGAAATAAAATATAATATAAAATCAGTTATTTTATTTCAGCTGACAAGGCAACTATTTCTCATTTTCATTTAGTTTAGCTTGTACTAAAATAACTAAAACTAAATAAGCAAATAAAATTAATAAAAAACTATATAGAAATAGTAAAAATTACCAAAACTTTAAAATTAACGGAAAACTTAAAATATAATAGTAAAAACGAATTAAAAATATTATTAAAAACTATAATATTATCTTAATGATACTAAAATAATGCTGTCTTAAATTGATTAGATATGCAATTTGGTCTAATATTAATGTCCTCATGGTGTAGTTTGAGTGAAAACATTTCATGATGCTGTTACAGATTATTTGCAATGCCATGTTTTATTTTATTCTTCCTTCGGGGGGAATAAATAGATTTACTTATAAAATGCAATGTTTAACAAAATGAAAATTATTAAAAATTAAACTATGGTGAATTTACCATATAATATCATGCAAACTCATGCATGAAATATAAATGATAAACTATCATTTGTACACATTTGAATAAGAATTTATGACTTGCATCACATTTAACTTTAGCTTTACATCTTCAATGATAATGATGATGATGGTGATGAAGATGAATTGTTTTGCTGCAGCGGGTGGAGGGATGAGCCACTCTTCTGTGACCGGTCAGGATGCGCAAGAAGCAAGCAATGGTGTGGACACCTCTGACTCTCCCAAAGCTTCAGATTGGTCAGGACCTCATGGATTCTCCACCCAGGGGTTAAAGTTCAGGGATGGGGCTGAATTTGAGCCTCACGAGGGGTTTTCAGGCCTGTCAGAGACTCTCAACCACACACTTCACCACATGGACTCATGTAGAGACACACACATAGATCACTCTGAGTCCACACCTACAGATTCACTGGTTCAGCACAACCAATGTGCACATATTCTAACTGAAGACCGCTCACACAAGAACACGCACTCCTGTGAGACTGAACTAATACACGGCCACTCTAAAAAAGAACTGGAAGAATGGAGAGGGGAGGAGGATGAGAGAAAGACAAGTGATGGAGAGGTGAACTATGTCAACAAGAGAGAGATCAAGCAAAAAAAGGAGACACTTATTTCTGTACAGGTAAGGGGTTAAATCAAGGATGCGCGCTGGTCCTCATTCAAGTAAATACTAATATATAATGTAATAATTAGTTTACTTAATATTATTAGTAGGGTTGCAAAGATGGAAACTTTCTATGATGTTTTTTGGAAATTTTCGGAAAAAAACCCAAACAACTAACTGACTAAATAATATATATATAATTAAATAAAATCCAAAAATGTTATTATATTTAAACTTACTAACATAGTAATAATAATAATGATAATAATAATAAAATTAATAAATAAACAAGTCCTACAAATTAAGAATACATTTAAAGAGTTAAATCTAATCTATGCTTTCGTACTCCATTTAATTAAGTACTAATATAATATAATAAATACTAACATAATAATAATAATAACAAATATATTAATTCATTTAATAATAATTAAATAATTTCCACAAATTTAATAATAATAATAATTTCCACAAATTACATTTAAGGAGTTAAATGCATGCTTTTGTACTCAATTTAAATACTAATTTATATATAATATAACAAATATTAACATAATGATGACAATAATTAATAATAAAATCTTAAATGTCGTACAATAATTCCAATAAATTAATACATTTAATTCAGTTAATTTATTAATTAATAGTGAAATAATTTAACATTATGTCCAGTTTGTGTGACTCAAATATCTGTTGCTGTTTATCTTGAACTTTTTAACAAATAAACTGATCTGCACAAATTACAGCCAGTTGGTCTGTTCTCAACTGAACACCCTTCCACTCGCTCTGAACCTGATGAATGGGCCAATATAGATTCGTTGGATGAAGTCCAACCAAATGCTTCCATTTCTCCTGATGAGGCCCCTCCCCTTGTTCCGGCACCTCCTCCCAACCAGGCCACACCCACTCTGCTGCCAGACCTGGACGATTCTCCGTGCCCGGCTCATGTGATGGCGGAGGTGCGTGTACGGTCAGTACCAGATCGAGTCGTGCGTGGCATGCAGGACAGTAAGAGCCTGGATGAGATCAGTGGGGCATGTGGGGGCGGTGCACGAGGAGGCGGGGCTAGAGGTGGCCAGGTGGAAGGACGCAGAGCTACCATATCCAGTGCCCTCGAATTGGAGGGAACCGTCAGCCATGATGGAGATCTCACGCACTTCATCACCAAAAATCTTGAACAGAAGATTAAAATGAGCTCGCGGCTGAGTCTGGACACGGATTGTGAGTATCTGAGGGTGTCAAAAAATAGTTTTTGATTTGTTATGTCATGTATCAGTAATATTTGATTTGTGTGTGACTACTTCAGCGGACTGTTCTGGGCCTGTGGTACGTGGTCATGGCTCTTTGCGTCGGCCGGCTGATATTCCGCCCATTGACCCGTCAGTGCTGGTAGACCTGCACAAACACACACAGGATGTGGCTCAGAGTGTAGAACTGATGCTGCGAAGCCTCAATGGAACTATACAGAATGTGAGTATTACCCTGATTCATATACAGCCACCCAAAAAAATATTTGGACACTTAAGCCGCATTTCAAAATACCAAACCAGGTGCAAACAAACATTTGTTCTGCAAACAAATTGTGCTGTTCCTTTTTTCAGAACTAACTCTTACCCATTTTTGAGCTAGTTTTTAGCCACATGGTCTCAAGGTGATTTTAATTGACTATATAAAGTAAATTCTCCTCAACTTCACACTTCACCTTTTTTCCACTGATGTTAGATAATGCTTCCTGGCCCATCTGCATACTGTTTCACAGAATTCCACAGAAAATTCCACAGAAAAGCCAGTTCTGAGTCATTTATTATTCCTGTGATGGTAAAGCTGAATTTTCAGTAACCATCACTTGCCTTCAGTGTCACATTGTCCTTCAGAAATCATTTGAATATTCTGATTTGGTGATCAAGAAACATTTCTTAGTATCCAACAGTAGTGCTACTAAATATGTTTGTTGAAACATGAAACATTTTTTTCTGGTTTGAACAGCATTTATCTGACATTTAAAACTTTTATACCTTTCTAGTTTCTAAATGTCTTTACTGTCACTTTTGATCCATTTTATGTGTCTGTGCTGAAAGAATTAAATTCTTTAAAAAAAAACAAATAAATATATAAAATCTATCTGACTCCAATCCTTGAACGGTAGTAAATGTATAATTTAATTTATATTTATTTAGTTATAGGATGATCCGATCACAATGTGGGTCAAATTTGTGCAAAAATACAGAATATTTTTAAGGGTTTTCAAACGTTACAGGTTTTCAGTGTCTAAATACTTTTTGGCTTCACTTTTTATGTATGCAACCCTCATTCCGTATATTCATTTATACGGACCGAGAAGTGCACATATTGCTTTGAATATAAATTAAAAGGTTGTGTCTCTCCAGATGACTGCTTTAAGTGTGGGCTATATCCAGACATACAGAGATTCTGTGGACAGTTTGGGAGAGTCAGTGGACATGAGTATAAAGGTGAGAGTGACTTACATTTATGTAGTCAGGCGAGTTTTCATTTTTATTTTATTTTCTATTTTGAGCTGTATGTACTTGTATGTGTGTTTCCAGGGAATGTACACACTCATGGCCCGGTGTGAGGAGCTAGATCGCTCCATGCAACCTATACATGCTCTAGCTGCTCAGATCAGAGACATCAAACGAACCCTTGATGCCCTAGAGACCATCTGCAAGTAACTATGGCAACAAACCACACCCCCTGTCCGAATGAGGACTCCATCCCTTGGAGAAAAGCAGCGGCTCCGCCTTCTGCAGTCATTCTGCTACACACCGTGCAATGGAAGCAATTTGCTAATTATAATGTTTACTAGCAATGCTCTGCAAGTGCTCGTCCCCTTAGAGACAGCTTGGTTCTCACCCTTCCCCTCGGGGACCACATCTTCAACCACCTCCTTTTGTCTTGGCTCCTCCCCTCACACTGCAAAATTGACTCCCTGTGATTCATGCCGTCCAACATCTTTCACGTGACCACAGGAAGCACTCTCTGTTGTTGGTGGCTTATGGGCGACTGATTGGTTTTACTGTTGCCTGTTTATGAAGTGAGTGTGTGTGATTGGAACTATTGGTAGGTATTTTGACGGATTGCGTCGTTGGTGTTAAATGTACCATCTGTAATGGCCTCAAATTTAAGACATAGAGTAGTTTAACACCAATATTCGCCAGTATGGAAGCCATGCTCTATGTATACTTGTTCCTCCCGGATGTCTTTGTTTCTGCAGGATGGATGCTATGCATCCCAGATCAGTTCTTCTTTTCACAGCGACCATTGTTAAATGGATAGTTCACCTGAAAATAAATTCTGAAATCATTTACTCACCCTCATGTTGTTTGAAACCTGTATTACTTTTTCTTCCATGGAGTGCAAAAGGAGATTTTTTGAAGAAAATACATACAATCACCATAAATCATGAGTAACGACTTACTTTTCAATCTGTTTCTCACACAAAGATATCGTATGACTTTGGAAGAGTTGTGCACACATCATATGAACTACTGTTATGATGCACCTACGTCTTTTTTGAAGCTTGAAATCTTCAGTCTACATTCATAATCTCCATTCATTAATTGCATGGAAAAGAGTGGCCAGGACATTCTTCAAAATATCTTCTTTTGTGTTCCTCAGAGGAAAGAAAGTCATACAGGTTTGGAACGACATGAGGGTGAGTAAATAATGGCAGAATTAAAATTTTTTTGGGATGAACTATTCCTAACACAAGCACCGTAAAGGCTCGCCTACAAATATTGGACTCTTGATTACCGTATTGAGAGTCATGACAAATGTCCTGTAATTTGATTAACTGTTTTGTTGTCTGCAAGTGTTCATCACTAGAACCTCACAAATCAGAGGAAGGTGAGGAGAGATTGGAGGTGGGTGTGAAAAAAAAAATTCAGGATGGATGAAAGTTTATGATCTTTACCTTTCTCTGTCTGTTCCTGTTTGAACCGTCTCTCTTTATCGCTGTCTTGCTAACTATAACCCTGATTTGTCCAACAGTCTGTCATCAATGTATATTTTAAATTATTATATAACAAAATAAATTTGCTAGAATGATACTTGATTTTTGTGCCCCTCACTACATTTAAGGTGAATTTGTTCATTGCTCTTTGACATACAGTTGTTTTCTTTTGAGCGTCTTCTGCTTTTGCAGAGTTCAGTTACAGCTGCATCCAGATCTGCACTATTAATCAGGGTGAAATTATGAAGCATATTGTTTGTGTGTGTGTGTGTGTGTGTGTGTGTGTGTGTGTGTGAGTGTCTGAGAGAGAGAGTGTTTGTGTCCTCATATGGCCTTAGCTGGATTAATTTACACTGGCGGATAAAAGGTTTTGCTCTGTCACCCCTTAAAATCACTGGTGAATTCACAGATAAGTAAACGCATAGATGCACACATTTATTTTTTTTAATTTGCACATTGTAGTTGTTCTTATCCTCCTCCTCTAGTTGGTATTTGTTAATTTAACAAACCAGCAGATTTGCTTACTAGTCATTCATATATGTCACTGAATGTTTGGAAAGGCTTTACATTTTCATTATGGAGGATGGTTTTGTTTGTGTGTGTGTGTGTGTGTGTGTGTGTGTGTGTGTGAGTGACTGAGAGAGAGAGTGTTTGTGTCCTCATATGGCCTTAGCTGGATTAATTTACACTGGCGGATAAAAGGTTTTGCTCTGTCACCCCTTAAAATCACTGGTGAATTCACAGATAAGTAAACGCATAGATGCACACATTTATTTTTTTTAATTTGCACATTGTAGTTGTTCTTATCCTCCTCCTCTAGTTGGTATTTGTTAATTTAACAAACCAGCAGATTTGCTTACTAGTCATTCATATATGTCACTGAATGTTTGGAAAGGCTTTACATTTTCATTATGGAGGATGGTTTTGTTTGGGACAGACTGCTCAGATAAAGCATAAACTTGGCTGATTTCTCTTTTTTTTCTTTCTTAAGCGTAAAAGATAAAACGGAGAGACTAAACATTTGATTAGATTTTAGTTTAGACAGATAGAGGCCAGTTACACCCCGGCCCGGCTGTATTCAGGACATTTTATGATTGTGCTATCACTGTCCCGTCACAAGTCTTAAGCAGGTTTGACGTAAATACAGTGGGTATAGAAAAGAATCACCCCCTTTTAATAATAATAACATCCAAGTGAAAGATATAACACCAACATGTCAGAAAAAAAAAAACAGAATCACTAGAAAAAGGATCACCCCTTCTAAAAATGACTTGTAAACTCAGTTAGGTGTAGCTAATCACCTTCTCAGTGGCACACAAATCCATTTAAATTTCAACTGTGATCAGCTGTGGTCATTTTGATTAGCTCAGCATGAAAAGAGCATTTCAGCCCTTGGTAGTGCAGCTGAAGCAAGCAATCAACTATGGGTGGCAAGACACTGTTAAATGATCTCCGGGATAAACAGTTGCAAGAATTTATGACAAAGAGTGGTCATTGTGTGCATGTGACAACAATATCACAAATTCTCCACAAATGTCTTGTATGGGACGGTTGCAAGAAAAATGCCACTCTTCAAGAAAGTCACATGCAGTCATGAAGATTCTGAGGCAGATGAGACTAATATTGAATTATTTGACCTCAACACCAAACGATATGTCTGGTGGAAATCCAATACAGCTCACCATCCAAATAACAGCATTCCTACAGTAAATCATGGAGGTGCTAATATCCTGTTATGGGGGTGTTTCTCTGCAGCAGGGACTGGAGCACTTGTCAGGCTAGAAGGAAAAATGGATGGGGCAAAATACTGTCAAATTCTTGAGGGAAATCTGCTGCCCTCTGCCAGAAAGTTGTCAATGGGAAGAAGGTTTACCTTCCAACATGACAATGACCCAAAGCATACAGCAAAACTGAGCACACAGTGGTTGAAGGAGAAAAGGGTGAATGTCCTTGCATGGCCAAGTCGGAGCCCAGACTTAAACCCCATTGAAAATCTGTGGAATGACTTGAAGACTGCATCAAATTTAGCTGAACTTGAGCAGTTCTGCAAAGAAGAGTGGGCAAATATTGCAAAGTCTAGATGTGCAAACTTAGACAGATCCCAACAGACTGAAGGCTGTAATTAAAGCAAAAGGTGGTTCAACAAAATACTGACACAAGGGGGTGATCCTTTTTCCAACTCCGTGATTCTGTTTTATTATCTGTATTCATTTCGGGCTGCAAAGCAACAAAATTGAATTTTAAAGGGGGGGTGATTCTTTTCTCTACCCACTCTCTATACAACATTATATAAGTTTAGGGTCATTAAGAATTTTCAATGTTTTTGAAAGATGTCTCTTGCTCATCAAAGCTGCATTTATTTAACTGAAAATGTGAAAACAGTCATATTATGAGATATTGTTACAAAATAATACAGTTTTCTATTTTAATATATTTTAAAATGCAATGTATTCCTGTGATGGAAAAACTGAATTTTCAGCAGCCATTACTCCTGTCTTCAGTGTCATATGATCCTTCAGAAATCATTCTATTATGCTGATTTGGTGCTCAAGAAACGTTATTTTCCATTTTGAAAGCAGTTGTGCTGTTTAATAATTTTGTGGAAACCATAATACATTTGTTTCAGAATTCTTTGATGAATATAAAGTTCAAAAGAAAAGCATTTATGTAAAACTTTTGATCAATTTAATGCATCTTCGCTGAATATAGGTATCATAAAAATAAAATAAAAATAAAAATGATCTGAGCCCAAACTTTTGAAAGGTAGTGTATGATACGAAGGGTTAATACAAACATCATATTTCTAAAGTAATTTGTTTTCATGATGGAAATAGAAGGTAATATTAACTCCACACATACTTATTTTGTATGAATTGCAGAAACAAAATCTCAATTTATTTGTATAAAAATGTATTATAGCTAGTCTAATTGGACTGAGTCTGTTATTGTAATATAGTACATTATAGAAGGTAGATAATTTTGTTTCAAAAACCATTCAGGGTCATTTTGTACGTAATTTAAAGGGATAGTTCACTCCCAAAAAAATCTGTCATCATTTATTCGACCTCCACTTGTTCCAAACCTGTATGAGTTTCTTCTGTTGAACACAAAAGATATTGAAGAATGTTGGTAACCAAACAGTTGATATAGCTATTGACCAGAATTTTTTTCCCCCCAACCTGTGGAAGTCAGTGGCTACCTTCAACTGTTTAGTTACCAACATTCTTCAAAATATCTTCTTTTGTGTTCAACAGAACAAACTCATGTAGGTTTGGAACAAGTGGAGGGTCAATGATAGCACTATCCCTTTAAAAAACTATATCCAATATAAGTTATGCAGTTCATTTTCAAGTGCAGGTGATGCAGAACAGATCTGTTTATTCAGTCGTGTTCAGACTGTGAATTTAAATCCATCTCTGAGATTATCTTTTACAGAAGCTATTCTCTTAACAGAGATATTCCTTTGGGTATTTATATTAAAATTCTTTTTGCAATTAGCGATCAAAATCAAGGCCAACTGAGGTTCACAAAAGTTCCTTCACACTCCAGCTCTCTACTCGTCAAACATAATGAAGAACCAGTGAGGAGAGAAGGATGATGGGTGTAATAAGTGCAGAATTTCCGCCGTCCACTGGCTGCTTGGTAGGCACTACTGCCACTTGAATCACTGGAACCACGGTACTCTGACTCGGGCTTATCCCAACCACTGTTTTTACTGTTGGTGATGTTATTTTCCCTTGGTTTTCCAGCACCACGCCAGATTCTTGATCTGCTGCTGCACCCTCCAAGGCTTCGAACCACTGGCAGCGGGAGTCCTTCTTCCAGAGGTCTATGTAAGCAGTGGGAAGCTCTCCCGTGGCCCGGACACCTTCTGCCCCATTTGGGAGAAGCATAAAGTGGGCTGAAGGAAGATGCAGGTATGTGGGGTCCTCAGGTTTCTTACGCACACAGCGTCCACGGCCCTGACACAATGAGACTCCACAGAGACGTGCTGCAGTGGTCACATTGACAGCATATGGGCCAAGAACCTGACGAACATACGAGCTGAACTCTGAGCAGGATTTCTGTAGGAGACACACATGCAGATGTAAATAATAATCAGTCAAACATGAATCTGCATTTAGCATTATAATAGATAAATAAGAAGGTGGAGGGATATATATACCTTTGGGGGTTAGTAAATTAATGCTTCTGGCCCTTATGCTCAGCAAGGCTGCATTATTATTTTTTATCAAAACTACAGCAAAAACAGTAACATTGTGAAGTGTTATTACAATTTTAAATAATTGTTTTCTATCCAAATGTATTTTAAAATGTAATTTATTCCTGTGATGACAAAGCTGAATTTTCAGCAGCATCACATGATCCTTCAGAAATCCTTCTAATATGCTGATTTGGTTCTCAAGAAACATTTATTTTATCAATGCTGAAAAATGTGATTTTTTTCATGATTCTGTTATGAATAGAAAGTTCAAAAGAACAGTGTGTATTTGAAATAGAAATCTTTTGTAACATTATAAATATCTTTATTGTCAGTTTTGATCAATTTAATGCGTTCTTGCAGAATAATGTTTTTTTTTTTCCAAAAATAAATAAGTACAATTCTTACTGATCTCAAACTTTTGTATGGTAGTGTCAATATAAGAATGATTGAATGATTACCTGTGTTTTAACTGCTAAGGATTTTTCCCATATAATGACTCCAGATGCTCCCATAGCAGCACTCTCTCCAATTGTGTTCACCAGATCAATCTGATACATGTACAATACAGGCATAATTACGAGGTTGTACTGAGTAACAACAAAGTCCTTATAAGGTACACCCTCATATTATATTATATTTTATACAACAGTTCTTTCTGGTCCTCAAATCTGATTGGCTGAAAGGTCATTTTTCCAGATATTCACCCCAGATATCACCACGGGAACCTTTTCACCGTTTGTGAACTTTTATATTGACTTTTATATTGAAAGAGACTGAAACGTGGCTGTAAACAAGGACGTTATTTTTAAATTTCAACAATACCTTGTAAGACGCAACCAACAAATGCACTGAGTAGCACTGTCATCAGAAATCGCCATTAACAGTTGAAAAGATGCTGATATAGAGCGGGTACTCGTGTGATACTGTATATTATATTTTCTTTATATACCCGCTTATACACTCTAAAAAATGCTGGGTTGTTTCAACCTAGCTTTAGGTCAAATATGGAAAAAGTTGGGTTAGTCTGGGTTAGTCCATATTTGACCCAAATTTGGGTTGAAACAACCCAGCATTTTTTAGAGTGTAATGTATTTTGTAACCATTGGTTTTGTTAAACTCAACAGATGGCAACCTACTGTTCATTACCTCTGAGAGAAAGGAGCTAGAGGAGGTGTACACAATCTTGATCAGTGGAAACACAGGAAGATCAAAGGTAGTCCCTGCAAGAGCCGCCACTCGTAAAGCCTCTCTGATCTGATTGGTTGCGTAAAGCCACGCCCCTTTAGTTCCCTCTGGCAGCTTCTCCAGTGAGAGGGCTGGATAGAGGGTACCGCTTCGCTTCCACAGCCACATGAGCTCATCATTAAGGGCCATTTCTGCCGCAGGGCACCGTCCCGTGTAATTGGCTAATGCTATCTGGGTGGAGTCAAAGTTATAGCAGTTAGGATATGGGGCTATGCCCCATAATCTTTGTGGGTGGAGTCTCTTCACCTCCCGCAGGGTTTCCATCATTATGGACTGTGCTGCTGCTTCAAAGTCAACTTGACAAGAAATTAAATCATAACATAGATTTATACAACATAATGCAGAATGATAGTCTCTGAAATATCATAATATGTTGCGATTGTCATCACCTGAGACCATTTCTCTACTTCCTCTGTGCTCCAGTCTGGAAAAAATCCCCGGAGAAGTGCCCTCGACTCCACAAGATACTTTGTTTTAATTCCCCTGTTCCTGTTCCACTGAGGCGCCCACTCTTGCCAGCGCAGCACCCCTAAACCAGGTGCTCCTGCTTGGGGTAATGAGGCCGTCAGGTCACCCTCCACCCTCTGGAGGTGAATGTCAAGGCTGGTGTGTTGTGGTAGGCCACCGTTGACAGGACGATCCTGTGCAGTGAAATATGGGTAAAGTCCTAGCGTGTCCTCATAAAATATTGCCACACGGCCTTCCCACTCCATCCCAAATGCAGCTGGGTCCGGCCGACCCAAACAGTCTTTGTCTGGAACCCCCCATAACACCAGGAAAGGCTGGCCAGCGAGAAGAGGGGCCCGGGCAGGACCGCAGACACATGGACGAGTGAAGAGACAGAAGAGGAGGAATAGAAGAGAAAGGGAGAGGAGGATGAACGTGTGTTTTCTTCCAGCCATGGAGCTGAGCAAGAGGTTTCAGGGCCCCTCACCCCAAAACTCACACAAAAGCCTCCTTGGAGAGGGATAATGTCTGGAGATAAAGGCATAGAGACATCTTATAAGTATTTCTCAGTTATTTATTGATTTCTGTTCTGGTGTGTTTGTGTCCATAATGAAACATGGGGCAATTCAACAATAACTTCAGTTGCACAGTTTTATTAAGCATCAAGCAGCTTTCAGGTTAAACAACTGAAATTTAGGACAACTTGTGGACAGAAATATTCCATCCCACACACTCTTAAAGTTAGGAGAGCCCAGGCCCACGGTTTGTTATCAAAAAATCTCTCATTAATTATATCTGAAGGTATAGATTTTAATCCAAAATGTTATTTTTATATAATTTAGATATATTTCTTTGTTTTTCCTGGCGAAATTTTCAACAGCTTTTTGTATCAGACATTGACAGTAATAATAATAATAATAATACAAAAAAAGAGAAAAAGAGTGTGATCACAAGTCCCTGTTTACCAAATGAAAAGATGGAGCTGCGACGCTACGTCAGAGGAAACAAAGGGAGACACTTTAGGATAATGAATCGCTAACAGGATTCATTAGTGCTGCCCAAATTCAGCGCTAAACGCTCTTTAAAGTGTATTAATACGAGTCTGCAGTTCACAAGCTTTTCAACAGAGGGCGCCAGAGGGCCAAGCAACACCTGCGTCTCATTACACTGACGAAACATATTTATCGATCTCTTTATCCCTGTGTACTTTGAAAAAATACTGGCGGTCTGCCGCAGCATACGCATTTTCACTTCGTTATTCGAAAGTTACTATTTATTAATGGTTGAAGAAGTTTAGCAAGCTGTTCGTGTATTCCTTGAAAATACTCCCTGCTTTATCCTAAACTAACGTGTAAACCATCCTTTTCAGCATGGGAAAAAGAAACCATCTCCATGGAAACTATACTAACAATAGTTTATACCACAATAGCTACAGTTATTAATAAGCTGTACTAATTCTGTATTATTGATTTATTATGGTTTAGGGGGATTTGTGGCTCTCCATATGTGGGAGAAACATTGCTAAATGTAACATGTACCTGTTTTACGCTGGAGTGCTCACTCTGAAGTGATTTCGGCCACTCAGCCATGCCAGATAATAGCTGTGACACATACAGAGGAGAGCCAGTTATATATGTGTAATGAGCTGAACGCAAAGACATCTTTCTGTGTCAAATGAGTGCCTTTCTCTGAATAGGCTCTCTGAAATTGAAACTGAAAGCTATGTTATCATTCTCACACATTTAAAAGTTTTGTTCTTTCTCATCCGGTTAAACTTGACTATGTCAAAGTAAGCTTCTGTTGTTGGGTGTGATAGTTTTAGGCCAGTTCCTGCTTTCGAGGAAGTGGCTGGGAATCGACTTAGCTTTTATAATGCCAATTTCCGTCTCATTTATAGCATTTGGAGTAAAACACAGTTGTTTAACTGATAGTTTGGTTTCCTTCATCAGGTGCTTAAGGAGATGGGATCGGAGTATTGGATTGTGTTACTCACCTCTGCATTACTCACCTCTGCATTGGATCTCCAGGTCAAAGAATCCAGAAGGCAAGGTCAAGATGAAGAGGACTCTTCTGAATGGGGAATAATAAGAAATGAGTGTTTCTGTGCAGGTTCGCACGTTCGGGTCTCCTGGCTCAGTACAGGAAGCCACAGAAGGGAGAGACTTCAGCCCAACCATGAGGGATGAGATGACAGGCTGTCCTGACAAAAGGATGGATGAAGTGACAGAAAGAGGAAATAGAGAGGAAAGCAGTCTAACTCACCTTCACCAGAGTAATCTGTTAGTAAGTAGGGTCACCACGGACCATGACAATCACATGATCAGACTCACCGTAATCCCTTAATCCACCACTCCCTCCTACCAAACACACCTAATTCAAAAACACGCACCCGCACACGCATACATACATCCAAGCACACATATGCACAAAACTGTGTCACAGTGACACAAATTCACAAAAATTTAAAAAGAAAGAAAGAAAATACTTACTATAAAATGCATTGACTGTTTCTTTCCTTCCTGTTTTTGTTTTATTCTGCATCATACCTGTATTGAAATGGAACATTTAGGTTTCATGAATGACCCTCATATCAAACTATACCTTTCATATCTTTTTTACTTTTAAATCTCTTTAAATCCCTTTTTCCTTGATCTCTGCTGGTTTCTGCCTTTCTCCCATTCCTGTCTTTCTCATTTCTCTGTCAATTTTCTGATGTCTAATCCCATTTCCTGAAAAGGATCACTGGCAAGATTATTCACAATTATATCATCCAGACATAATCTGGCATAATCCTGTTCTTTTCTATAGACTCTGTTGGTATTACAGATAAGATAAAAGAAGGATTTGGTTTTTGTGACTGGTGTCATTCCAGGTTGTTCGTCTTTCTTATGTCCAGATTGAAATGTATAGTCATAAAAAATAGATTTTTTATGACCAGTTTTGAAGAATTAATGAGAGGGAGTTTTTTTCTTGACCGGGTTGAAATGTGTGTGTGTGTGTCAGTGTGTTCGAAAGAAATAAAAACATTTACAATGTTATGAAATATTTCTATTTCAAATAAATGTTGCAATGTTGTTCTATTCATCAAAGAATCCCGAGAAGGAGAAGAAGAAAAAAAACTAGTGCAGTTTCAACAAAAAATATTAAGCAGCACAGCTGTTTTCAACATGGATAATAATAATAAGTGTAATAATAATAATAATAATAATAATAAGTGTTTCTTGAGCATCAAATCAGCATATGAGAATGATTTCTGCAGGATTGTGTATAAATATATTAAAATATAAAAGTTATTTTAAATTCATAATAATTATTAAAATGTATATATATATTATATTACGATATGTAATATTACTTTAATAGTAAGCATAACCATTCACAATGTTACTTTTTTACTGTAAATTAAATGCAGTCTTGATGAGCACAAAATCTTACCAACCCCAAAGTTTTGAATGGTAGTGTACATAATTTAAATAATATATTGATATTATTTAAATTGTATATATATATTCTTCAAAAATATATATTACATGTTATTTATATTTTATAATTTCAATAATTATTAAAAATTTAAATACATTTGTAAAGCAAAGTTGTATTTGTCATAAGCATTTATCCTGATTAACAAAAATGTATTAATTATTATAATGTATAATAACATTAACAAAAATGTAAAGAGACTTAATTTACATCATTTTCAATATGTAAATTTCTTTGAAATATGATCTTGAATGATTCACTGAGTTTTATAGGTCGTTAAAACTGTAGCATTTGTGACAAATCTGGAGTGAAATTAAGACTTCTGGTCATCTTTGTCTATTCTCTAATTAAACATCTGAAACTGACCTCTAATTGTAGATTCACTTGTGCTTATATTTAGCACAGTACGCTTTTTTTGTTATCAGTTGTATGTTCATGTCATATGCGTGTGGATGTCTTACCTGGTCAAGGTTGTGTGTGTTTGAGTGTGCATATGCTTAGTTGAGATTATCTGTTTGAGGTATCTAAGGTGATGCCTGCTCTCCAGGTCCGTCACCATGGCAACGGCTCAGATGAGTCCGGCCCAGACAGTGGATGGGGGTTAAGGATGTGTGTGTGTGTGCGTGTGTGTGTTGATGGTTTGTACATGGACATCCAGTTTTGTGGAAGCAGATTTAACAGATCTCTCTCTCTCTCTCTCTCTCTCTCTCTCTCTCTCTCTCTGTGTGTGTGTGTCTCTCTCTCTCTCTCTCTCTCTCTCTCTCTCTCTCTCTCTCTCTCTCTCTCTCTCTCTCTCTCTCTCTCTCTCTCTCTCTCTGTGTGTGTGTGTGTGTGTAGTGTTGGTTTTGGTAAGATTGACCTTTATGTCATCGTGCTTGATATGCATTTAGACTGAACACTGATGATATTAAAAGTGATTTAGTGAAGACAGATGATCAGAACACAGACTCACCTTAAGTTATGACAATGAAATTGTACTCAAGAAGTCAGGATGTGAATATTTTCGAAAATATAGCTCACTTGTTATGTCCTTCTCTTTCTGTATATGCAGATGGAAACAGGTGTGGAGGCTTGGAATTGACCTCGGTCACCCCACTGAGCCAGTGTAAACACCTCTAACTCCAATTTATTCTTAGTCCTGCTTTTCACACAATCACTGCTCATGTGTTTTTGCTGTTTACTTGCTAGGCAGTTACAATGAAGATAGTTTAAACCTATTTTTACTTGTATTTTACATTAATTTGTTATGTGGGCAGTGGGCATCTATTATGAGTGTAGATAGAAAAATGCCTGATCATTGTATCAGGTATGAATAAAGCAAACACGACACCTTTCTCAGTATTAGCCAGTATTTTGATGCTGTGGTTGCTTTCCATGAAATGTTTTTCATGTGGATGTTTGTGTCATACCAGGAAAATGTGTGAGCGGTGTTACTTTAAATAATGTATTTGATAAAACATGGTTAGCTACTAGAATTTTGTGTCCAGAATGTGAGCTATAGAGCTTCTGTTAATGCAGTTGAGTGAAAAACAGTAGTTGAGGAAAAAAGTATTTTTGTGACTGGTATCTAGATGATGAATTCACCACTTTTGAAACCACTTTTTTCATTTATTTTATGTCACCTGGATCACCAGGTCAATCATCTTAATTAGCAGATGGACCAGACGAGTGTGTGTGTGTGTGTGTGTGTGTGTGTGTGTGTGTGTGTGTGTGTGTGTGTGTGTGCGTGCGTGCGTGCGTTCGTGTGTGTGTGAATACAGGTTTGACTGTTCTTGTGAAGGCCAACTCATAAATATAGTGAAATGTGTTTCTCGCTGTTTGGAAGGCTCATAAATCATGTTTTACTTTAAAAGTTGACAGGTTTCTGTGAGGGTGAGGGGTAGAATATAATAAATAATAGTTTTGGATATACTTTTCAATGTTATTTAATGTTATTTTAATGTTATAGTGTGGTTTACTTCAAAAGCAAAGGGACAAAATTGTTTTCTTTGGTAACTGACATTATGTCATAAATGCAGTTGACAGAGCTTAATTTATACTGAACCTATAAAATTCCTTTAATTTAAGACTGAATCCCAACTTCAACCTCAAACCAACAAAGCTTATTCTCAGTCCAGCTTTAAACTTAAGGTTAAACTCAGCCTTGCCCTTAACCCGTGCTTCATTCCTAACTAACCACAGCCACAAAACCAGCCTCCCCTTGATCTTAACCTCAACAGAAAAACTTCCTTCATAATCTTAATTTGAATTTAAATTCTGACCTGAGTCTCAACCTGAACCATCATGTTACGGATTGTTGCTTGTTCATCATGCTGTTAACTATAGTATTTTCTTTTTACATTTTTTTACTTTTAATGTACTGTCACAGTCCTGTGCTGTTCTATACTGTACATACATATACAGTGGGTATAGAAAAGAATCACCCCCTTTTAAAATAATCACATTTTGTTGCTTTACAGCCTGAAATGAAGACGGACACCGTTATTGTTTTATCCAGCTGTATTTACTCAGCGCAACTTATAACATCCAAGTGAAAGATATAACACCAACATTTCAGAAAAAAATTTAATAAAATAAAAAACCAGAGTCACTGAAAAAGGATCATCCCCTTGTGTCAGTATTGAACCACGTTTTGCTTTAATTACAGCCTTTAGTCTGTTGGGATATGTCTCTACTAACTGTGCCCTCAAGAATTTGACAGTATTTTGCCCCATCCATTTTTTCTTCTAACCTGACAAGTGCTCCAGTCCCTGCTACAGAGAAACACCCCCATAACAGGATATTAGCACCTCCATGATTTACTGTAGGAATGCTGTTATTTGGATGGTGAGCTGTATTGGATTTCCGCCAGACATATCAGAATCAGAATGAGCTTTATTGCCAGGTATGTTTACACATACGAGGAATTTGTTTTCGTGACAGCCTTTTTCTCCTTCAACCACTGTGTGCTCAGTTTTGCTGTGTGCTTTGGGTCATTGTCATGTTGGAAGGTAAACCTTCTTCCCATTGACAACTTTCCGGCAGAGGGCAGCAGATTTCCCTCAAGAATTTGACAGTATTTTGCCCCATCCATTTTTTCTTCTAACCTGACAAGTGCTCCAGTCCCTGCTACAGAGAAACACCCCCATAACAGGATATTAGCACCTCCATGATTTACTGTAGGAATGCTGTTATTTGGATGGTGAGCTGTATTGGATTTCCGCCAGATATATCGTTTGGTGTTGAGGTCAAATAATTAAATTGTTTTTAAAGGGGGGTGATTCTTATTTATACCCACTGTATACACTTAAAAATAATACTTTTATTCAGCAAGAGTGCATTAAATTAATCAAAACTGATAGTGAAGACATTTATAGTGTTACAATTATTTCTATTTCAAATACTTAAATGCTGTTCTTTAGAAAACATCTGTTTTCAACATTGAAAATTATAATGATTTTTGAATGATCATGTGACACTGAAGACTGGAGTAATGGCTGCTGAAAATTCTGCTTTGCCATCACAGGAGTAAATTCCATTTTAAAATATATTTAAATAGAAACAGTTATTTTACACTGTAATAATATTTCAGAATATTACTGTTTTACTGTAGATTTGATTAAATAAATGCAACCTTGTTGAGTATAAGATACTTCTTTCGAAAACATAAAAAATCTTACTATCTCCAAACATTTGAAGGGCAGTGTACATCTCTATGGGATATTGCCATAGAGGAAATTAGAAAATTGCATTTAAAATACAAAGTAGATGTTCAACCAACAAACTTTTATTTTAGTGATGTCAAATGACATCCCCTTCAACCAGTAAAATT